CTTAATTAACTATTAACTAATACTATGTTTTATTATATATATATATATATATATGTGTGTGTGTGTGTGTGTGTGTGTGTTCAAAATTTGATACTTACTGGATTTTTTGCATTTTCATAACATTGATTTTTTAATTCGTCCAATATCGTTTTTAAATGCATATGTTGCTCAGGTATTGGTGCTTAGGTTTTTCAGCTTCCACTGCTCTTGCAGGCATTGGAGGCATTGCAGGTATTGCAGGCATTGCAGGCATCGCAGGCACTGCAGGCATTGCAGGCATTGTAGGCATTGCAGATTGTAATGATTCAACTGGTTTATTAAGTGGTGCCACATTCGGTAGGTTTTGCCTGAATTGCGAATTATAAGGTGCCGGAGGTTGCTCTTGATAAAAATTATCTTGAGGTAAGGGCTAAAAAAGTCATTAGAGTATAAATGTATAATTCATGTATGTATGTGTGCATATACATATATAAATATATATAAACATTGCACATAAGACTTACATTCGATTCTGGTTGATTAGTTTGTAATGGATGCATGATTGGATTTTGTGATTGATAGTCTGTTTTCGGCTGGAAAAATATAAATAATTCATTTTTAGTGATGCATTCATAGATTCTTCAGTCACTTTGCAATAGTGATTGATGATGCGTCTACGGCACTATGGAAGTAAATGAAAGCTCTCAGACAACAAAGTCCCACAAACTCACTTTGATACTTAAAGTGATAATATTAATAAGAGTATAAAAACAATTTTATGCGAATTGTAAGATATAAACAAATGACTAATCTGCGTAACATCAACTTCAAAATGCGAAGCAGTTTGGATTTTCCATTTCGCATAACACGCTTATTAGTTCATATTACATGAATATAAAAAGGTTATAAACAATTAGATTAATTCTATTAAATATGAGAATATATAAGTAAAATAAGATATAACAATGTATATTCTATTATTATTACGAAACATTGTAGATATAATATTCTCGACGTGCGAAGCCGGCTACCTTAATGTTTACACCTTTTGAATGTTTTTCCTTCCATCTTCTAGTACCAGAATGTTCCGCAGACATTTCGTTGTATAGTGCCAGTATTGGCTATATGATTTTAATATATACATATATCAGTATTTAAATGTAAGAAATTTATTCGAAGACGCGATACAGGGAAATAGCGCGAATAGGGGCTAAACGGAATTGAACAATGCAATTAGATAAATTCTATGGTTATACTTTACCTGTGCTCTGGAACTTTTTGCAATGGGTGGATCATTCCATCCAGATGATTGCGTTGGAAATTGTGATGGTAATTGCGATGGTAATTGTTGATACATATTTTCGCTTCCGTATGTCTGCGTTTGTGAAGTAGGCTGAGATCTAATAGGATCGTACATTTGAGTCTGAGACACATTTTGCAATGGCGACATTATGTTTGGCTGCAACGGCTTGTATGGTTCTGGTTCTTTAGGATTTGGATTATTCATAAAACTTGGCGGTTGATTGGAATAAACATTACCCGGCACAGGACCTTGCGATTGATATGAACTTTGCGGAGAGTAAACAGAAACAGGCGGGACTTGCTTGTACAATGGATTTGACGGCGGGAAAGTATTCTGATTATATGATGGAGTGGCTTTTACAGATGGATCTAGCAGATACTTTGTTCTCGATTGAGGTCCGACACTGGATGGTCTCGAGCTACTCAAATTAGAACTGGATGTTGGTGGAGGTGGAGGAGGAGGATTTGACGATTGCGCTACGGGAATTTGATTGTACGGATGTGACGTAGAATATTGGTCGTAGATTGTAGATTGCGCTTGAGGTTGAGGAGGAGGAGGCATTCCGTACATCTGAGCTGGCTGAGCATTAAATTGATTTGTAGCTCCATAAGTTTGTTTCAGTGGAGCTGTGTTCCAGTTCTGTACAGGCATCGTTTGCTGTAATGGTTGCTGCAGCGGATTATATATGCCTTGCGAATTCTGCGGCATTCTTTGTGTCTGTTCTTGATAGTAGTTCTGAGTTGTAGGTTTTGTAACATGCCTTTGATCTTGTCTGTAATTTAAAGCTTTAATCAAACGATCCCTTAACATCGAAACTCTTTGCTCTTGACTGTTCCCGAGATAATTCAAGGCAGCTTCCAGATCGCCTTCTGCGGCCAGCATTTCAGCGTACTGAGATAAGACAGTAGCAATTTTATTTTCTATTTGAATTTCTCTGATACCTTGAAGTTCCAAGGCTTTCTGCATTATTACGATCAATTCAACTATTTCTTGAATATCAGAATCAGACACTTCGATCAATTTATTCAAGTTGCCAGAACAAATATAACATATTTGTGCTTGTTTCTTAAGAGCAGGGTTCTCACATAACGTCAAGCGATCGCCAAGCATATCTGTTATGTGACAATTTATTTTATAAATATTAAAAATAATAAATGATTGTAATAAAGTATTTTTGCAATGCTTTATTGTATTCTTACCGCATAAAATAGGTCGTTCCTGTGTATTGGAATGTGTAAATATACCAACCAGTACTTCCTTCCAGGATTTTATATCACTATTCTTGACAATTTCTGCCCAATTCTCACTAACTAATGAATTGATGAGAGAATTTAATGAACTGGAGTTTTCTAAGAAGTATCTGTACTGGGTGCGCGCTAATAGATCAGGACCAGCAGCCATCGAAAGAATTATGGCGTCGGCATATCTTTTGCTAGTAAAGCACAAAGATACAGCAGCTTCAATATTTCCTAATAGAATGGCTTGAGTGATAAGACCATCCTCATACTAAAAAAAAAAAACAATATGAACATAAATTTTGTATATATCTTTTGTTACAATACTGATATTATTAATACATGTTAATTACCATCAGAAGTATTTATGGTGTAAGTACTATCTGCAAGTTTATTTGATGACTATTTTTTTGCTTTTCTCTTGTGCCATGGCATCAAATGCAGTACTGCCAGGTACATTTCCATTTAACACCTAAATCAAATAAAAAACATACATAATTATAATTAAAATTAATTGCAACGAAAGTTCATGTGTGATATGAATTAATCAAAACCTTACATTATTAAGATTAGAGACACTTTCTGTGATATTGTTTATATCATCTTGAGGTACAAATTTATTCAGCTTATTATTCATCATTTCGATATTATAACCCAATAGCTCTAATATACTTTTCGTTACTTCTTCATCAAAGTAAGCACATACACATCTCCAAATTTTCTTAATATGCTCATCTGAAGAATTATCCATCTTCTCTTTACAAAAATCACTGAATTGCTCGGTTTCTAATGTTGCTTTTAATTTGTTGGAACGTTGAATAAGATTGGGTTGTACAATTACTTGCGCTATAATAACTTTATTACTTTCATCCTTGTTTGATTTCTTATCAACAGGCTGATTTTCAAAAATTGCCAATTTACCACCAAACTAAAAATTATATTTATTAATTATTATAAATTATTAATTATTAATTATTATAAAAGTTATATTAAATTATAATATTTTTATTTTATAATAAATATTTTATTATGAATAAATGTTTTTTTTTCAAGTAATAAATAATATAATATAAAACAAAACTAAAAGCTTACTCCAAATGATGCTCCAAATGGTCTCTTTAACCATTTAGGAGCTTTCGTTAATACTGCGGGTGTTTGTACTGTATGCTGTGTAGAAAAAGGATCCATTCCTGGGAATGATTCTATTTTGTTAGATGTGTTTTGCTGTTGTCCACCTAGTAAAGAGTAGACAGCAGCATGACCATCAAAACTGCTGCCAACAATTAATGCTGGATTTCTCGGACACCAAGCCACATCGAAGTTCCATTGAGCCGTTTGGGCTAATTCACATACAATTTCACCATTCTGCCATTAAACACGTTAATAGTTAAAAATTCATTAATTTATTGAAATATATATTAGCATTACCAAATGTTACATACCAATACATTTGAGTTGGGATTCCAGCATAAGATTCTGTTATCTTTGGCACAACTTAAAAGTAAATCAGGATCGCGCGGATTCCATGCAATTGAAAGAACACCACGATGATGACCTTGTAGAGCTTTTAAAGGTGACGTTGGAAATCTTACGTCCCATACTTCAATAATAGGTGTCTGATCATCTTCAGATGCCAAGCACAATTGTGTTCCGATCTCTGGATGCCACTGAGCAACTTTCCAGCGTACCTATACAAAATTGAAATGTTACAATAAAATCTTTCTTAAATACATTTTTGCATATCGTATCATAATACTAAGTTGAAAACAATTATACCCTTGTATTTGTATCTGTCAGTTTGAATACTGGTTTCTTTTCTTTCGTATTCCAGATAATGCAGCATTGTGAAAACGTCGAAGCAAGAATCTGTTGCAAATGTACTGTAAAATAATAAAATAAAAATAATATTGACTGTCAATAGATAAAATTTGTACAAACAATTAGTCAGGCATAAAATTTTTTAGAGAACAATTTGATATAAAGACCTTGTTTGTTCCAAGCGATATGCTGAACATCCTCTAACTGTTGACTCTTAGAGATGATTGTTGGCGTGCTTGTATTAATGTCCCAAACAAAGATCTCACTATCTGTCGCACCTGTAGCAAGCTGATTTCGGAAAGGGTTAAAATCCATTGCCCTGACAGGACCAGAATGCTTATGAGGATTGCTTATCAAGCAATTGTTTTCTCTGGCCAATAATTTTGCAGCAGAATATATTTGTATAGTACCATCCTCGCAACCACCAGCAATTATACCTGCTGATTTATTTCCACAGGATCCCCAGACAATTTTGTGAAACCTAAATCAATAAATATGTCACTCGATTAAATAGCCTGAATCAATATTCTATAACTCTTAATGGCGTCATTATTGTTATATTATTGTTGTATAATTTTTCTATTATTATATGCAATAACAACATTGTTGTTGTTCAGAATTGTTCATCGAATAAATTTACTGGGATATTAAATTTAATTTTATACAAACCACAGACCTATGATCACTAGGGATACTGGCATTTAGTTCCATTTCATATCCCGGCTGTTGCAGATTTAGTGAATATAGATCTAAACTATAAGAAGTACTGAAACTGGTATCTAACTGCTGTGCCGCTGACCCGGCAGCTAGCATAATGGGATGCTGAGCTGGCGGGGACCATGCTACGTTCACTGTCTTCAGCAGCTCTTTGACTTTCATCTATACACAAAACCAGAAAGAAATCTGCTTACTAATGCATCATACATCTTGAATCTAAGATACGATCTTATGCGTAGAGGGAAATATCCGCATAACGCGCATCAAAGCAGAAGACGACGGCGACTCGAAGCGACGTCGAATTAATCGCACGTCAACGCACTGGGACAACAACGTTAAAAAATGCAATCATCGTTGCAGAGATCATTGCGCTACCGGATAATGATAAACGTCCGTCGCCCGAGCGAGACGCCGGTCGTCGGAACGACCGGAATCACAGCGTCTTGGCCGAGCGACGCGCTCTCACCTTGATTCGCGCTCGGACGCAGCCGTGAACGAGAAAAACTTTTCCAGTGCGCAAAACACAGCACACGACGAGTTCAACGGGATGCGACGACCCGTCAAGTCTTCCAACGTGGCGTGTGGCGTGCTGCACGCGAGCCGTCGGCGGTGCCGCCCTCCCTGGCGCCGTCAGCGCATTACGAATTACGACACATCTGCGACTCCGCGTTGCCGCGTGTCGGCTGCTCCGAAACGGCGAACGGCGAATGGCGACATCGCTCGACGTCGGAGCGTTCGCCTCCGCTGTATACGCTCGACGAGTGCTGGCTGCCTGACAAAAGATCTGAGCGTTGCTTCGGAGGATCGCGAGAGGTAATATTAGCACTACTTTCTACGACATGATACTATCGAACATCGTTGTTGTGTCGGCCGACGGAGCTTCTGTCTAAGCTTGATTGTTTATTTAGATCGCTTCCCGGTGCAATCGCGCCATGTACAGGCGTTTTCTCTCGCCTTGAGGATTTACTTATATGGTATTGCACAAGGCTTTATTAGAAGCTCCTCCACTGCGTCGCAATAAATTATTTGTAATCTCAGAAAGAAGATTTAATACGTCTATTTTTACGTCTAATTATGAATTACAATTAGATTCAAAGGATTATTTTGCGATGGATCATTATGATGTTCTATGATTTTTCTTTTGGTTTATCGTATAGATTTTTAAATCATTTTTTGCATTTATTTTAGATGTTTTGTTTTATGCAAGAGTATTTATTACACAAACATATAAAATATTATGCACTATAATATCTATTTTTTTATAATACTATTATACTTTGTTCTGTATTAATTTTATTCTTCTTTTCTTTTTCGATTACATTTTTTGTCCTTTATGTTTTATTATTTTGGAGTTTTAAAATAGCTACGTTAAATGTAAAAAGTCTTTTTATTATATAATTTATGTTAATATAAATTAATATAAATAAAAATAGTAACATGCAAATATACAAATGAAATTTAGATTAATATAAAAAACATGATAAGAAAATAAAAAAAATAAAGTTATGAGTTCTACAAAAACTATCTTAGAAAATTAAAAAAATGATGAAACAATCTCGTTTACAACGTACTTCAGGAATTCTTGAAATCTTCCTTTTTTGTTGCAATGACCCGACCTATCGATCACGAAAAATTTATGATAACAGAAACCGGACTTGTGTGATAATTTCAGACAGCTTGATGAAATAAAATGATGTGAAACTCCCGAAGTTGATCAGTGTGTGAACTGACCGTCTGCCTATACGTATCGAAGATATGAATGTGATTGATATGGATTAACGAATAGCAAAATGTGGCCTAAATTGAGACGATCTCGACGTCTGTCGATGATCCTTTTCTTAACCGTCGCATTTATAGGCGCATTTCTGATTTGGTCTAGGAACAAGGAGAAAAGTGTCAATCTACAAAATAACTTTATCTCGTTCCGGTATAATTAAATTAACAATTAATTTATATGATTATAATTTATATATTATTTAGACACTGATTTTAAAATGATTCTTCTGATTATTGTAGATCACATGGAAATCAAAAAGATTACATTGATCAACGAGGAATTCATATAGTAGTTGGTCATTACATAGGAGACTCCGTTGATTCTTTGAAAATTCCAAATATTACAAAAGGTAATAAATATAATTACATCAGAAATAGATTTTGTAAGTAGAAATTTTATATATTTTTCTTTCAGATATTATTAATCAAAACTTGTTCAATCCACGGCCATTTGAAGGCAAAAATGGAGAACCTGTAGTGATACATCCAAAAGATTTTTATAAAATGCAACAATTATACCAAATTAATCGATTTAATTTAATGGCTAGCGATAAAATACCACTAAATCGATCTTTACCTGATGTTAGGAAAAAAAAGTAAGAATTGCCTAATTTTTTGTCATACAGATTTTTTATATCATTTAATAAGTAAAATATTCTAAATAGTTTTATTTAAAACATTTTACAGATGCATTTCAAAGTATGCAAATTTAGGTAAATTACCAAAAACTTCGATTATTATAGTATTTCACAATGAAGCTTGGAGTACACTATTACGAACAGTGCATAGCGTTATAAATAGATCTCCAAGAGAATTATTAGAAGAAATTATTCTTGTTGATGATAACAGTGAAAGAGGTAAGCAAATATCAAATTAATTACAAAATTAATTACAAAATAAAAAATTAAATTAATGTTATTAATTTTATATTTATAACAAATTTATTTTTATTTTGTTATTTATTGTTAGAATTTTTGAAGAATCCTTTGGATGATTATGTCAAGAATTTGAGTGTTCCTACAAGAGTTTTGCGATCCAATGAAAGAATTGGATTGATAAAAGCGAGAATTTTGGGCGCAAGGGATGCCAAGGGCGAAGTTCTCACTTTTCTCGATGCTCACTGCGAATGTACGGTTGGTAGGTAAGCTCTATTATACTGTAACATTTGAAACAGTTTTTCTAATATTATGTACAGTATCAATATTTGAAGTAATATTTACAGGATGGTTGGAGCCATTGCTCGAAGTAGTTGGTAAAAATGCAACAAGAATAGTCGCTCCAGTGATTGATATAATAAACGATAATACTTTTAGTTATACAAGGTAATTATTTAGGTATCTAGAACGTTTTTTTTAATTCCATGAATGCAATTAATAGAATTAGTGTAATTAATATAATTAATACGGATATAATTAAGATTCTGTATCTGTTCTGATTCTGTATCTTTTCTTTTCTTTTCTTTATTCATTTTCTTATCAGTAAAAATTAATAATTTGATAGATCGTTTGAACTTCATTGGGGTGCATTCAATTGGGATTTGCACTTTCGATGGCTAACTTTGAATGGCCGTCTGTTAAAGGAAAGGCGTGAGAACATAGTCGAACCATTTCGAACACCCGCAATGGCAGGTGGGCTATTCTCAATGAACAAAGATTATTTCTTTAAATTGGGCAGCTACGACGATCAAATGCGAATTTGGGGTGGCGAGAACTTGGAACTATCATTCCGAGCTTGGCAATGTGGAGGCAGTATCGAAATTGCTCCATGCTCCCATGTCGGACATCTCTTTCGAAAGTCTTCTCCTTACACTTTTCCAGGCGGCGTTGGAGATATCTTATATGGCAACCTTGCCAGAGTCGCTTTGGTATGGATGGATGAATGGGCGGAGTTCTATTTCAAGTTCAATCCTGGTGAGATTATTATTAATGATGATTTATCATCGTTATAAGCATTTTATCAATTTTATCAGTTAGATCTTTAATTTCATGGATGAGTGAATCATTATACTTTGAATTTTATTAGAGGCGGCTAAACTGAGATATAAACAGCAAATTCGTTCAAGATTAGCTTTACGCGAGAAACTACAATGTAAAAGTTTTTCATGGTACTTGGAGAATGTATGGCCGGAACATTTCTTTCCTACGGATGATCGATTCTTTGGCAGGGTATTACTGACTTTTTATTATATAAAACAGCATAAACTATTTTATATATATAATACATAAATAAATTTTTTAAATAACTGAAATAATATATTTGTAATATTATTTATATCAGATAATACATGCTGCAACAAAGAAATGCATTATGCGACCGACTGCGAAAGGTTCTTACGGGCAACCTTCAGGAAACGCAATCCTACACTCATGCATACCGCGACCGATGCTCAGCCAGATGTTCGTAATGACCAAAAATGGTGTGATAATGACCGATGAAAGTGTATGTTTGGACGCACCGGAACGAGATACGCAACAAAAGACACCAAAAGTGAAAATAATGGCATGTAGCGGTCGCGAAAGACAAAAATGGCAATATAATGAAAAGGTACAATATCTCTGGTGGAATATCAAATATCATAGTACTTCTTTTAACTTCTTTTGGTTAATTTTATAACCAATGATTATTTTTAGACGAAAGTATTTTTACATGTGCCCTCTGAGATGTGTCTTCAGGCAACAGACGATGACACACTTACAATAGCGGCTTGTACTAAAAATTTTAATCAACAATGGATCTTGGAACCAGTTTCTTGGAAGTGATAATTATGTCCATATGTTATTAACAAAGAAGAAAAGACAAGACAGTGTCTTAATAAGCTGTCAATGTATCAATAAAAAGAATCTATTTTTACTACTGCTTTACTACGCTTTGCGATAATTCGCATGGATGTTATTTTAATAGAAAATTAATATTTTTCTACTTTTATATTTACGAAATCAAATAAAATATGTATGTCTTTGCTGACAAAGTTTAAACTGCAATGCAGTTTGATGCAATAAAAAATAAAAAATATGTACCATTTATTATTCCTGTATGTTATTTTTTCTTTACAATCTTCACAATCTTCTTAATTTCGCATTATCATGATTATGATTTCTTGAACTTTCTTGCTTTTTTATATATTTGCAATTTAATTTCGTTTGTTTGTTCTTATCTCGTTTAATATTCTTTTTCTCTTTTTATCGCAATCTTTATTTAGTTGCATCCAATATTTTACAAGACAATTCATGTATTTAAAAAATGAACACAAAAGCATTTAATTTTTTGCATTGTGCGGTCTTTTCATCTTGTAAATGGATCTTGTTTTGCCATCTAATGGAGTGAGATGACTGTGCTTAATCATGGTTAATAATCTGAACATGAATGGTCGTTTCGAGAATAAGAATGCGTCGATGCCATAATTATCGTGCACGTATACGTGAGCATCGTTTTGCTATATGATTTCCTATTAACGTTACCCTTCAAAGTAATATATAAACACCAAGCTGGATGACTAGTTTGAAAATGTCTTAAATAAAGGCACGTGGATCGCGCGGAGGCACGTTACTTTAGTCAACTTGGTTTTGCCTTAAACAGATAATCCTCCACTGTCACAATTCCAAAGAAGATGCGTTATTGTTAGTGATTCACTGCTAGTTAAGGCCCTGTCGACGAGTCATCTTTATTGTCATCATCGTCAAGGTTGTAACGAGGATTGCTTCAGTTTAATGTCGTTCTGTCATTTACAAGTTTTATTTGTTTTGCAACAGTTATTCTATATTTTTTTCCATATTTTATTCAAGCATTCAAAGATTACGAACTTACACGATTTATTATGCATGAATTCTATGTTAAATCTATATCTTTAATAATAATATTTATATATCTGACGTGTTTCACCTTCCTCATCTTACCGTCCAATTAATTTGATATACACCGTTGCAGAGCAACTTTCCTAATTAAAAGTAGCGTCTCAAGGATTTTGGTTTTTTCCAACCCTGATCAATTACACTAGGCAAATACGTTTACTGAAGGTTAACACATAATGTTTCCTCGGCAGTAACATATTATTCTTTAAGGTATTATTATCTTTTCGTTCTTAATGACTTTTCGGGGATCTGCAACATATGAGCGAGAACACAGAAATACGTTTTGACAATTTAATAACATAAATATTTTATGTTATTATTAAAATTGTTACATCCATAAAAATTTTTTAAATATATATATGTGTGTGTGTATGTGTGTGTGTGTGTGTGTGTGTGTCTTTAAAAAAAAACTACAATAAAAAAAATAAACAGTAGCGTGTTATTTTTATTTTGACTGTAGTTCACCATATTGTATCTCGCAATTAACAACTTAACAAGCAATTAATAACAAGATCGTTTGTTAATATATAATAAATGCGTGAATTGTGTACAATATCATAAATGTGTTATTGTCCAACGATATTGGATGAATTATCTGCCAAAAATTAAATCGCCAAGGTTGATTTGCAAACTGATTGGAAGGAAGAATATTTGTTAAACCATAACGCGCGGCGGGAGATCGATCTCTGTCATATCATTTTCGGCGTGATTTCGATCCAGACGATACAGCATCGAGCTGCATCCGCGGGCTACTTGGCACAGTTTACCGATATCTGGGTCAAAGTCACGTCCTCGATGAAGCTAAGAAGGCACTTAGCCCGGAGCGCACTATTCCGCCTGTATTCCTCCTGCCTTCGGATCTGATCAACTCCAGGCCAAGTTTGGTCGAGATGAGTGAGACTTTATTTATGGATATTCGCGTTGTCTCCGAAACGAACGATCTTTTTTTCTCCCGGTATCAACGGGGATAATCGAACCACTACGGGACATCAAACATCTTGTACATTACAGAACCGGTTACTTTTTAATTAGGCAGATTTTTAGAGTATATTTTATATGTAATGTTATTTAGTTTGACAAACGAGATTATACCTAATGTTATTTGATAAATATTCAATATTTAATATATATTATTATTTTAATATGTATTACTTATTCAAGAGGACTTTTTTTTTCAAATATGCGTTAGAATACCGCGACTTAAATGCCTCTTCATCTCGATTATAATTGAGACTGTGATCTTATAAAGGGCGGGAAGTAGCTAATCATGATTTGTACTTAATGAAGAATATCAACATAATTAATTGCAGATTTCCTGAATGATTCATCTTATGTCGCTAATTCTTCTAGTTTAACTTACAATTGTAAATACCATAGTACATAGATGGATGAGTGGATGTGATTTGAGATTGTTGAAAAGTAATATACATTTTAAAATTCATCATCAGATCACGTCGCCAACTCGTTCACCGCTAGTGCAAGTGTTCCGGTTCTCACACACCTATGACCCTGGTCAAGTCGTCGTTTCTCACGTTAATGTGCGGTTCTTTCTCTCAATGTGAAGAAAAGAGGATTTAATTTTTTGAAAACGGGACCGTTTTCAGTTGAACGCGCCATTAACTTGCCTTGATATTTAGCCATCTATAAAAAGAAAAAACTATTTTGCAAAGCAGTTGCAAAGCAGAATGCACCAGAGGAAGCATCCTTATAACTTATAACTTATGCTAAAATCTGGTTATTTGTTTTTTATTTTATTGAATACGAAATATTTTATTTAATGTTATTTTTAATGTTACTTTAATGTTATTTTATGCTATTTTAATGTAATTATAATTATTTTATAAATGTCATGCATAATTATATTATATTAATATTATAATATTATAATTAATAAATATTTTAAAAGAAAATATAGGATTTTGTATATGATTAGCTAAAAATACGTATGTTGTACCCTCCAAAATAGCTTTTACTGAAAAAAATTAAAAATGTAAGAAGAATCGTTAAATACATATTGTCAATTTTTAGAAGAAACCAATTCACATGTTAAACAAAAAATTACATAAAAAACATAAAAAAGAAAATATTTACATTTTTTTCACTAGTTATACACTGTACTGTTTTTACTAATTATACATTGTGAAAATAATTATAACAAATCGTTACATATATATTATTTTTTATTAATGATAAAATCATTTTGTATCGGAAGCTGTGATTGCAAAAAGGATTTGGTAGAATAAAGTCAATCACACACAAGTTTTCTTTATATATATTGAATTATTATATATATATATATTTTTTTGCCTGAAATATTACATATTGACATATATACAGTCATCATCGTGCCGCACACGCAAAGGCGTGACTATGTAACTATAAATGTCACATGGAAAATAGGAGTGACGAACAATTATAGGATCGTTCACGTTCGTCATCTTTATTCGATTGTCTCGTTCGATGAGCCAACCGCGTCTTCACATGAAAAGGATTGAACCATTCAATGGATCATTCCGGAAAACAAGCAAGTGTGAATTATGCACATAATTTACATGATCTCGAGAAAGATTTTTAATTGTAACAATTATCACGCACGCACACACATTTCGAATATTTCTTTCTGACACATGTAAAAACATGTTGAGTTCGAGATGAAAATAATTATAATATTCGAAATCAAGATTATTTAAAAAAAAAATCCTTGAATACAGAACAGCTTTTTTTCTTTTTATAAAACGAGGAATGTCCAATTATTGGAACGGACCATTGAAATGTATTTCGGTGGAAATATCTTTCGCAAACAAATAGTTCACAAAAAGATAACGATATCTTCTTCCTCGCCGCAATAGAACAATATACGATCGCTCGTCCGATTGAAGCCGTCTTTCTATGCTCTTCAACATTTGACTATTGACGTAAGGAGAATCTATGGGATTGGGACTGAGCTTGAAAACTTGTTTATGTATGTCGCGTGTGTACGTGTATATATGTGTGTACGTGTAACTTGAGTGTTTCTTAAATACTACTTGTTCTAAAGGTAACGAGCGCTTTATAGCTTCCTCAGCACACGGCGCCGTTTCCGTGGCTAATAGTAAAAGTACGTATAACACGGTAACCTCGGTCAAATCACAATCGTCGTGGTACGATTTATATTTATATTTGTATGTATATATATTATATCTATATTCACATATATATTTGTATATATATATATATATATATATATATATATATATATATATACTTGCGTTTCTTTTTATATACCTCATGTAAAAATTAGAGATAGTTCTTTATAATTTTCTTAATACATACCGCGCGCGATTGACTATATATAATTACAGGATGGTGGTACGAACACTTGTGCGAATCGGATCGGACAGTTCCATTAGAATTCGACGTAACGACGATCGAGATCGCAATGGGGCTTAGGGTCGCTACGGACTTAAATCGTAAATCTACATTAAGGATCTAAGTCGGACTTAAATTAATCGAAGTGAGATGTTATGTCGTGAGATGGCATACACTTAGTCGCGAGATAAACTGACTTTTTAATCCACGCGAATCGCGAAAGTCTCTTATATTTACAGTTTTGTGATCGCTTATTTAAACGACGTCAAAAGACGTCGAATAGCCTTCAAACTTAATGTCATGTCGAAGTAACGTCTAAAATGTATTGTTGAAATTAATGATTTTCTTTTTTTAAATAAAATGTCAACGATATAGAAACGCGATCGTGGTGCAAAGACGTAATCCTGTAACCAAAAGATTTTGAGGATACTCGAAGGTACTCCTTTTCGACGCTCATTGCACATCGTTCATTGCAGCATTGCACCCTTACGACTTTGTCTATTTAAGATTGAGCCTCGAATACGAATTCTAATAGCTATGTATACATTCGTTCGTATATGAAA